AGTGTGGACGGAAAACATTTGATGCGTTTTCAGATTGAAATCTCCGGCGTAGTATGGACGGCGACTAATATAAAGCCATCTCTGCCCCTTTCCAAGCTCAACATTTCATTTACGTATGAAAAACTCGCACAAACCGGCACAGACTGAGGTGCTGTAGAACGAGGCCGTGTCTGAATGTGCGAGCGGTTTTCGATCAGGAAATATACCGATGTTAACGTTCAAGAATACAGCTCGATAAAAAGAAAACACTAATTTTAATAACAATAATAATTTACCAATTTATATTGCGCATATTTACATATTCTGATCAATAGCGCTTTACAATCACTATAAAAATAAAATAAAATTATAACTTATAAAAATACTTCTTAAAAAGATAAGTCTTAAGTCGAGATTTAAGACTGTCAAGTGATGTTGCTTGACAAAGCTCTTCAGGTAGGCCATTCCAGAGTTTCGGGGCTGCTGCTGAAGATGATCTGGCTCCCAATGTTGGAAGCATCTTACCGTTGGGATGGTCCAGTAAGAGCTCACCAGTAGACCTAAGATTATATGATGAATTCGATTTTATACTAAGAGATCACTAAGGTAAGTTGGTGCAAGGCCATAAATACATTTAAAAGTCAAAAGTAAAATCTGATAATCAATACGCAAAGAAACCGGCAGCCAGTGCAGCTCATAAAGCGCCGGTGTAACGTGAGAAAACTTTCAGCAGTCTTGCTGCTGCGTTTTGTACATGCTGTAATTTAGCGATCTGCGCCTTTGGTAAGCCAAACAATAAACCATCACATTAGTCAAAACGGCTGGTTATAAAAGCGTTGAAGAAGTTGTTTATCGGTGGATATGCCCAACTGCACGTCTAGATCAAGTTTCCCAATGGCACGGTCACGGGGCGTAACAAACCCCGAGGCAATATCGATGTTATCAACTAATGAGTCTCGTGGTAATAAGTAAATAACTCTCGCGTACAGTTTTAAAATACGAGTCACATAAGTTCACTGGTAAGGTGACACTCGCATATAGAAAAATAAATAAAAGAGCCACGGTTAGGAGTTAAACGGAAAGGATCAGAATTGTTTATTTTTGGTTTCAAGAAACAAGATCACTTTGAGATTTGTTCCACTTCGTGTCACTCTAATCGAATCGATCGTCTTTTGTTATGAATGGATGCAAATTGTTATTGAAGTAAACAAAAGACAATCTTTGCAACTGTGATTATAATTTTTTTGATATTTTTAAGAACGTCTGTTTGAGAGGAAGGAAGAAATTTATGGCTGTGGCCGGCTAAAGAAAATTATGCTTTTAGCAAGTATCTCTTTCAGTTTTCCGATAACTTTGGGTTTGTTTTCTTAAAAGGAATTACCGGCTTCAGGAAACATAATTCTTGTATTCCCACATTATTGACTTCGCATATTTTAAAAGTTAATTTGTCTGGAGTAAACGTCTTTTAATACTGAACAATTAGCAAAGCAGGAGTCACAGTATGAGTTGCCTCGCTTGTCTTTACTTTCAACAGCCTGCTGGTTTAATTCATGCTAATCGTAGTGTGACAAGATTGGAATAACAAGGTTAAATACGGCGCTTTATATCTTTAAGTTCAATATTTTTACTATTCAGTCTTTATCCAGTCTTAAATAACATATTAGTCTCTGCCAGACTGGTTACACTTATCTAGCCTGCCATTTATAGTTTTAAAATCATTCGTCACGTATTTTTCCTCTTTTGGTTCGCCTTTTGAAAGTGAAGTTTGTCGTTGACGCTGGGATTTCCTTCAAATAATGTTCAGCAATTATAATTGCGGCCGAGTTTTAACAGCTTTATCTTTCTCTGAGTGTACCTGAATTTAAAACTGGTGTTCATCTCACCAAATTTTTTGTAATAATCTTTCAGTAAACAAGCTATGTAGTCAATATCTAACGTGGAGTGAATATCAAAAATACTAATGTTGCTGTTACAAAACGAGAACAAAATATTTTAACATTGTATTATTTTTCTCCTGAAAAACGATAGTCGTCATTTTTCAGCGGCTTTCAAACAGCAACAGAACAAACTCAAGAACTTGCCTAAGCTGACTGCAGAAGCTTAAATTTAAACCTTTAAGAATGATTATCATGTGACAGTTCCCAAGCAATATAAAAACACTTACAGTCACACAAAGCAAGAGCGAGCGAAACAATAAATTGTAATGAACTACAGAGATCTCGCCGCGATCAGTGTAGATCAGATTTTCCCCTGCGGATAAACAGCTAGAATTTTCTTTGTAAATAATCGTTTTGTTATTTTAGAACTATTAAGTAAACCCAGATTTGACAAACAACTTGAAGTTTGATGACAAATTCGTATTGTTCGTAAACTCACGCCCAGGTTTACATCTGATATTACTAGCAAAATGTTCCTTATACATGTATTCTACTCTTACATTTTGTGAAGAAACATTCAGTTTGCCAAAATGGTAACTTTCTTTATCCTGAAAGAGTATTTAAAAGTACAAATTCTTCCAAGTAGGCGAGAGTTGTCGAGTCAGATCTCTAAAGAAAACGTGCGTTTATTCGTTCCGAAGGAATTAACTTTCAACGTTCCTTAATTTAGTAAAGGCTTCCGCTCTATATAGGCCCGAACAAAAATATCTTGCTTGCGTGAGTTTCTCAGCATGCTTTTTAAAACTGGTCCAATAAATACAAATGTTCTAGAGAAATTTAATTGTTCAGTGAATGAGTTCCTTCTGAAAGAAGGATTAACAAATTTGGGGGTAGTAATCTCTTGAATGCCCCCACAAAATTTTCTTGGATCAATTATATTGATATTTCCATACCGGGTTGACGTCATTCGTTATCAAAAGACACACTGGCGAAATCTGTTTAATCCCAGTGCTAAACACAGTGAAATTGGATAAAGAAATCACGGCAGTGTGAAAAAACGACAGATTTCAAACTTAATTCGTGACAGAGTCCTACTGTAGGTTAAATCGCTTGTATCACGTTAAACAGATAATTAGGAAACACTTAAAGACCTCCATTAAAGCCCGCTTTTTCTGAGCCTCTTTAATTAGCCTTCTCTTCAGAAAACAGAATGAATGAAAAGAGCTTTTCATTCGTAATAAGGCTCGAACGTGGAACATGACGTGAAATAAGCGTTGTTATCTGTTCAGAGCTCAATATTGGTTATATTTCATGAAGGATTCAGTCTATTCAAGGATTATCACGAACCTTAAAGAATTATAAACTCAGATCAAAGTTAACGAGACAGTGCCAACATAAAATAAATATCGTGTCAGGGCAACAAATCTTAGTACTCGAAGATATCTGAACCCCGGATCTGAACTTTGTCCAGCTGTTGGTATTCGTGACTCCTAAGTCTGATATATTTTGATATCTGATCACTGCGGGTTTTCCAATAAAAATAAGAGAAAACAATAAATTTATCTGACGTCTTTAGTGAGCCATAATCGCTAATTGCTCACGTAGAAAATTTTTAATCGAATCAGATCCAATTTGCGTTGAATTTATTCAAACCCGGAGAAAACAGCACTTCATTGGTTATGCGCAGTATATTTTTCAGACTAAGGCGCAGTTTCTGTTTCGGAAGTGGGGAGTGCATGCTCTTAAAACAATTTTGTGTCAGTGTGTTTGACCCAGTAACCACCGGAAACCACAGCGGAATATAATGTCATTGTCACACTCAGTGATGACGTTACACGCGCGGTCCTATAGAAAGGTGTGAGAACTATCAACGCGTCTCACATGCGTATAAATACTCGAGGGTACATTGAGTCGGTGTTCTTTACAGATGTTTAGCCAGTACGTGCCGCCCTGACCAGAAGTAATCACACAAAGTTGGAGTCAGTTGAGCAATATTTATTCAAGAGTCGCCGAAGAGAAGACGTGGTTGCCAAACAGAAATGACAAATCACCCGGGTGCGCAGTCTCATGATAACCAAGCAGTTATAATCGAGTTGCCAAATGGCTCAACGGAAAAGATTGCGGTTCGCGATAAACTCGACTTGACAGTGCGTGATCTTAAAGTCACTTGCGAGCTGCAGTTTGGAATCCCTTGTAATCTGCAACAACTCTGCGCATTAGAAAGTCCAGGCCAGGAGCTGAGCGACTGGTCGCCACTCAAAGAAACTATCCAAACGATCGGAGATGTTGTCATTGTTGTTCAAGTACCCGTGTGGTGGAACAAGTTTATTTGCGTTTCCTTGAACAATGAAATCGAGAACGTTTGCATAAGAGCTAAGCTTCCTATGCAACAGATCAGCAAAGAGGAAAGATTATTCGTCGCCTTTTTCATCGCCTGCTGTCGAGGCCACGAAAAATTGCTTGAGAGACTCCAAACTCTAGACATTGAGTTCGACCACCACGGAGCAACCGAGGCGGGCAGAAATCTTTTCCACGCTGCAGCGGCAAGTGGGAATGTAAACTGCGTGGAGTTCGTAGCCAAACATTTGATCAAGCCAGCGAAGGAGATCTTAACAATGCTTGACACAAATAGAGAGACTCCGATTGATATTGCACGCAGATTAAATCACCACGATGCGGAAAGATTGCTTTATAAATACATGTACAATGAGAAGGGTGCGCGACATGAGCGCAATTCCACCGAATCTGGAATCGATTTGAGCGAAGAGTGTAGGTCAGAGGAGTCAGATGACTCCTCAGAAGAGAAACAAGCTCAAGAAGAAAACATTTCCGCCCTCGAAGCACCGCACACTAGCAAAAGTGCGAGCTCCGGGGAGACCAAAATTGTTGCTCTCGAGAACGAGGAATTAGTGATCACAGAGTGTGACGAGGGCTTGAGTTTTTCTGGAGAGTCGAGATCTCAGAAGGAACCACCCCCGAATCCAGTCAAATCTCAAACTGGTGCGGGGAACTACAGCCCTCAGCAGGTGCAGAGAACAAGTCCATGCTCCTCGGAAAGCTCGGACGAATCGTGCAGGATTTCCCCGAGGCTAAACAGACCGCAAACTCTCAACGTACAGTCCAATCAACACTTGCTTCAACGGAGATTTAAGGAAGTTGATCCGCGCAGGCCGAAGAGCGCGCGAACGGTTCGGTACCCGAAGATCCACCTTGACGAGGAAGAAGTTGACGAAAACGACAATCACCTTCCTCCTTTAGAAGTTCAAACGCGCCTAAACCATGCTCCAGGAAACACGCTTAGTTTAGCCGCGTCACCTTTGCAGCAGAGGAGGCTCAAACAAGCTGTTGTCCGGACTAACAACAATCCGAACACTCCCCCGTCGAAGCAACTATTGAGTACCTCGAACGAAACACCTGGCCCCGAGGAAATGATCACGAAAAGCGCGCCTGGGTCTCCACAGAGTCCTCGACGATCGTTCAAGCCCTCGATGAAGGCTTTTAATGCCGGCAGCATCTCGCCGGTTTCACCTCAAATGGCGCGAGTGCTGGCAAATAGACGTGGGTCTGAGCCACTCGCGGCTCTAGGCGGGACAAACGGCATACGATTCCCTCGGAGTAGAAGAGAAGCTATCATCACAGGTGATCCACATGGTGAGAGTAAAGCGCAGGTTAACTCTCCCATAATGTTCAGAAGAAGCAAGGCAAGGTATGTGCATGTTAGGCTATCAGGGTAGTGTTTGTATACGTGGCTCATGTCTCTCTTTATTGACCTTCACAGCAAACCAGAACTGGAAAGTTAAGCTTTGCATTTCTGAACAGAATGCCAGGAAGTCGACTTATCAGTCGTGTAGAATGAGTATGACCTTACGTAACTTCACACAGCGAAGCTTCGCTAACTCGTAAACACGTTTGACTTTTCTTTTTCTACCTATGCGTGCTTCAATCCGCGGTCAACGCATTCGTGAAGTTCTCTTAAGTTAGGGTCGCTTTGTAAACAAAAGAAAGTTGACGTAGTAAACAGACCATAGTTTTTACACGATTAGGGCGCGCTACAGATTATATTGCCGATTGCGAAACTAAAATGGGTGAAATACAACACAGATAGAACGTGCGATTACATGTAATCCGTAATGATCATGATCTGCTTAAGATACAGAAGGTCGAGTCGTAAAACAACACTGAAAGAAAGTTTCACAAATTGTGAAATCTTTACATGCAAGTCAACTGCATTATGTCTCGATGACGTCTTTAAAGGCTCTTGTTCTAACATATACTTGTTTTGGGTCAAGCAATTTGTTGGGATATGATTTTACGTTCATTCAAAGATATAAGCTACAAATTTTGAAACAAAGTAGATAAAAACTCAATAAAATTTCAGTCTTATGACAAACAAAGACGGTTTCTAAGTAATTTAGTCCACGCATCAATTGTTTTGTTGTGTTTGTAACTCATTTTTTTCTCTCGAATCAATTAATTAATACCGTGCACCGACAGATGTTAAGTTAAGAATTTTGTAATCTGTTTCAAAATCTCGTCCAGTTCTGGTGAACGATAATCTTGTGCAAATCAGTTCTAGAGATCGTTCTGTGTTTTTCTGTTGCTCGAAGCTATCTGTTTCGATTATTTGTTCGGGTGATCTTGACACGATTCTTATGTCACAAAATCACCTTAAAAACACATGACCTATCGACCCTCTTTAAGCTATTCCGGCGCCTGGAAAAACCCCATCAAAGTCGATGTTTGAATATTTTTCCATTTTAATGCTTATATTAAACGCAGTATTGACGTAGGCAGGAAAATATTTGTATCATATTCCTGTTGTTATTTTCTGGTACCAAACTCGGCGAGTTGTCTTTTTACACAAGGTAGTGTTTTCTATGTAACTTCTGCAATGTGTACAAAATTTAAGATGATTTGTTTGGACAGGGAAATTTAATTACCTCTTATGTTCTTTGAAAGCATTCGTCTATGAACTTTGTCCACTACCTTTGTCCGACGAAGTTTCCATTTCATTGCAAAGTTACACTAAAAAGACAAACTTGTGTAAAAACTCCCGTTAAAGAGATGTGAATTTTTACTAATCGCAAAACAATAACATGCTAGTTAGTTTCCGCTCGAAAGAACTTTAACAACTTGAGGAGATTTGATTAAAAAGATTGTTTATGTTTTTTTGGCTATGCGGGATGTTCATTCTTTCAAGTGGAGACAAAAGTTCTTTTCAATTCATGTGATACGCCAAGTTATTTTCATTAGCATTCTGCGAGCACGGCACAGGGTTTGTTTGTCGCGTGCGATTTTGTCGAGAATGGTTTTTGTCTTTTCCACTTACGACTAAACGAGCAAATTAAAATTCTATCCAAATCTGCAAAGATTAGTAGCCACGAGGTATTCACGCACTCGCAATGTGTTTTCCTTGTTGAATTTGTCAAAATACTGCTGTATCGTCTGCAATATTGTTTGTTCGGCTCGTAGCACGTGAAGAAATAATTTCTACTACCGCGCTCTAGGAGTTCTTAAACTGCAGCTTTTGCAAAACCAAGGGGGCGGGTCAAAGAGACGGACCTCTAGTATAGTTCCCTAAGCCCTTGTTATTTTTCTCTAGCTGTCGTCTTGTTCAAACTACATGTCAAAAGTTTTTTTTCTTTTTTTTTCCGAATCATTTACACTTCAGAGCACTACTCCTAAATACTAAAAATGCTTTCCAGTTGTGTTGCCTTTACCGTGCTGAAAATAACATGAACCACAGTAGTTTTCCTTTGCTCGCATTCAAATTCTATTTACGCAATATTTTGACATTTGGAACTGAAGCAAATTGGATTCAACCTTTCATGGAAAGTCACTCAATAATAATTGCTGTGTCAACTTGATTCATTTGTTGCCACTTGTGCGTGAAAGACCCACTTGAACTCGAGAATTCGTCTGGAAAAACAACTCGAAAACCGTGATTTAATTTCACAGTTTAGATACGAACTGCTTAAAATTACAGGGAGTTTTTTTTTTTACGTCATTTGACTAATAACCAAGCTTAGCTTTGTTTCCGTTGTTGTGATGAAAACCGGAACTGGGCCAATCAGGGCGCGAGAGTGAAATAATTTTGTTTTTCTTTGTAATTTCTTGTGCGGTCTCCATAATTCTATAAGTAATTATCCACAACTTCCGGAATTTTAACAACGTCCTTTGTTTTCAAGTCTTTCTTTTGACCGAATGGGTGTCTAATTCTCAGCATTGCGGTAATCATGTTAAAACAAGGGTAAACTTTCCACGGAAACCCAAGAAATCCAGCTTAAAGCGTCCCACTGCACTCAAAAAGGAACCGGCAACTGAGAATTGTGCCGCACTGCTGCCGGCACTGAGAATTGTGT